CATGTTCCAGTTTATACCCAGTGTAGGGGTTAGTTCCCTTACACTTGGTGATAGTAGTAGTATGTCGATGTTGTTAAGTTAGAATGTAGTTGTTGAGTGCAAATAGGATAAGTTGTTCGGGAGCGGAATGTTAAATGAAAGTGTCCGTCACCGATGAGCGTGTTTATTGCACTGAAAAATATTATAACAATTGAGTTAAGCGTTGACGGTAAAATGCGGTGTCGGCGAAATATAAGATGTCGAGTGTGCTCGTACATGCTGCCANGCTCTTGCCCCAGGTGTTGAGCGCGGTTTTGCCCTCCCCAGAGTACGAGGGGCGGCCTGGGCATCCACGCTCAGGTGTGTTGTGTCCTGAGCATGGATGTCCAGGGAGGGATTCTCCAACGCTAACGCAGCTGGTACCCTCCTGGGGTAAAATAGTTTTTAACTGCGCTATCATTAGGAGGTGTGGGGTTGGGCCTCCGGTACCCTCACTCACTCGGCGAAACACAACACAAGTGCTGCTTCACGCCGGTTTTCTGTGAGGCCGTGGTATCACTCCGGTCGAGCCGGCCCATTCGTGCCGAAGCATGGCTCTCCCACGGAAAAGGGATCCTCCCAGGTCAATAAAAGTTAAATAAATGACTGTAGTGTGCATTATAAGTTTTTAATTGAGATGACCTACATTTGTAAATGTTCATTTAGATTTAGAATATCGATACTTAAACATCATTTGTATCTTCACATAAAAATATTTAAATTTGATATTTGATTCAACAATCTTTGGCTTTCTTTAATGACTTCTTTTTCAGAGGCTTTGGTATTTTATTCTTACTTATCGATATAAAAATATCGGTTCCTCACAACCTTATTCCGCAAACTAAAGAATTAAGATTCTGTCCGCGCGGACGTTATGAGAAGTGCGTTTCCTTGTTTTTTATAGGCGAAAAATTGTATCGGACGGCTTGTTGTTACATTATATTTTGTTTTCGTTTCAGGTAATGCGATCTAATCCACTCAACTTTGTAACTTGGTATGTTTTGCTCGTATTCATTTTATATTTGATATTTTTGAAGCTTAAACTTTCTAATAGCGTGGATGTTTCTAAGAACTGAGATTGGCTAAGTATCTGAACGTGATTGACTTGTGTATTACGTTGTCTTCAAAGTTTTCGAGCTATTATTATGGATTGAAGGTAGAATGCTAAGAATCTAGGTAAAACTTCTTAACTCGTGGAACATAAGTGGCTGCATGAGACCGCGGTAACAATTGATTTGTATTGTGTCTCGATTCGCTGATATTTAAGGGCTGTGTTACATGAATAATTAGGTATAATAAACAATCAAAAGGCTGAATATCTAATCAACAACATTAAATTAATGACATCATCTCAATGACAGAACCCTGCAACTTAAAATATCACCACCATTTTAACCGAATTTTATCTATTTAAACTTAAAATTATTTCGTTACAAGGACACCAAAACCAATCACTAACTGATCAAACTCCGCAATTTACCTCACTGTATTAAAAACGCGGAGTAAAATGCTTTGTAAAATGGAGTACCTATCACGTTCCGGGGCGTGTATTTTCCCTTGCAAATTGCTCGTCGCAGGTACAGGCGACAGCACATCAGACTATACATGTTTGTTGAAAAATAGCGTCTATTACCACTACATAGAGGCCATCGTGTTTAACGTGATGAGGTACAAAATATCGCGTTACGTCACAGCTCCGCAGAGCATTAGCATATCGATGGCGGGTATCAGGACATCGCGATATAGAAAATGCATTTTGGAGAGCTCCGAGCTAAAAGATTGGGAGTAACTAGTATCTTAGGGTACGTCGCTTGGATTTTTGTACGGGTTACTTTGAACAATTTGAATTTTATTGTATCTCTGTTTTTTAATATTTATCTGTAGGTGAGCACCAATTGTTTATTTTACATGCACTCTACACACCAAACCTGCTGACTTGAATCGTAGTCTTTTGAAATGTTGTCAAAAGTCATAGAAAGTAGAAGTCGTCGACATGATTCTTTTGAAATAAAGCCGCCGACTCCAAGCTGCCGAAGGCTGTGGTGAATATGATAGCAGTGGATCTTAAACACTACATTAGTGTTACAAGTACTTATTTATTATTATTATTTATTTATGTTACGTAGCTACTACCCTAAAAGTTTCAGCAACTGAAGTAAAAAAAGTCGCGTTGGCGACATAAATTGACAGAAAGAAACTTAAATTGTCCAGCTCACAAAACTGTAAGCGTAGGTCTAAAAAGTTTCTTCGAAAATGACCCTTTTATGGAATAGAATACGTAGCTTACGAGGTAAAATAACGAGAATTTAATCTCGTGACGGACAATACCTGCGCCCTTTCTCACAAAGTACCTACTTGTAATAACACAACTTGCCTGACCCTTGTTTTCGATTCAGACGTTAGGCGTAGGCCTTGTCAGCTTTGCGGCTACAAAGCCTTGTCGATTAAGAATAAATAAATACGAATAGCTTTTTGTTTTATGTGTTTTTAGAAAGGACTGAAAGCTAGCGTTTTACATAAGTAAGCCTTTTACATAATTACATACTGTCTCAAAAATTTATCACAGAAATGGCTTTCGATTTAAAAACTTAACACAAATATATTTCTCACTCCACATTCATACATCCATTTAAAACTCTGTCCTATATTTGGTGTAAAATTTGAAATTAAATGAAACACATGCATGAAACTGTTTGAAATAAAGTAGACCTTCAGCTTCGTTCCACGCACCTTATTCTTTATGTAAAACTCAGCAACTAAAGCCAGACTTACCTGGCGGATAGAGTCGGCGATTGTGCACTTTCCCCTACACGATAACCGCTGAAAGCACCGCTGGACACTCCATTCATGTATGTCATTGAGTCGGCGTCTGCGGAAAAATGACGATGCGCAAACATGCGAAATATTTCGAGCTTTTACCGGGTAAAGGGGGTTTGGAGATAATATGAGCTATTATGGTCTATGTCGAGTAACTTTAAAGTATATTTTTACTCAACTGACGGTTGTTACAAAGTTGATATTAACTAACTTGTATATTTAGGAGTTAGATACATCAAAGAAAACATACGTTCAAAGGATTTATTGGCTGTGTATTTTGATTTGGCACTGTAATGACAGTTTTTCAGGTGGCTGTTGATGACTGTTATTAAATAANATTCTCCAACGCTAACGCAGCTGGTACCCTCCTGGGGTAAAATAGTTTTTAACTGCGCTATCATTGGGAGGTGGGGAGGGGGGGGGGGGGTTGGGCCTCCGGTACCCTCACTCACTCGGCGAAACACAACACAAGTGCTGCTTCACGCCGGTTTTCTGTGAGGCCGTGGTATCACTCCGGTCGAGCCGGCCCATTCGTGCCGAAGCATGGCTCTCCCACGAGAATTAGGATTAAAATTAACATGATTTTTGTATATTTAGCACAAATCAACAAAATACGAGTTCAGAGCTTCGGTCCAATTTAGCCAACCGGTTCGATAATTTGTACCACAGGGTTACTAAATTAGATTTCAATAAATTTCAAGCCTATAAAAAAACCATGACAAAATATTATACGATACATTCGTAACAAATTAGGTAACGAAAATGAACAGTAGTTAATAACATAGACAATTGATATTGTTTTACACGTTATCACGATTTTGAGTACAAGTTTTGTAATTCGAATTATCGTAACGCACAGTTGTACCTAATCTATTTTGCCAGTCTTTTGCTTTCATTTATTGTTAGTCAAAGATAACTATGCTATTATATCTTCAAAATAATGATCTACCGAAAAAATTTTCAAAATCATTTGGTAAAATTCCATACAACTTGATGTGGTACAATTTAACCGACTAGGTGACAGTGCTTTTAAAAAATCGGTAAAAAATATAGCTTAGAAATACCGAAAAATGTTTCAAATAATTGTAATCCACACTAATTTACGCTTCTAATTAATAAATTAGAAACATTGTGTGATTAAATTTAACAAAATTACAAACTAAACATGCATTCTCAAAAGTTACTTGAAAACAATGAAAAAAATCTTTTCAAAATAAAACAGACGTGTTATATGTCACGGCAAAAACCATATGGCCAATATTTATTGAATTTGGTTGTGTATCGCTGAGTGTTGCAATTACAAACATTCAATAAATACTTTACGAAATATGAGGGTGGTACAATTTACCCGGCGGTACAATATACCGAACTCTCCCCTATTACTAATATGCCATGACTACAACAGTTATGAATGAAAATTAAATGTTTCTTGGTTTTTTTTAGATCTAACTCGTAAATGTTTCGGCGTTTTGTCAATTTCCCAATCAATATTGTTATTCCATGAGTAAAAAGGTCTGTAATGTAATAACTCTTTAGAGGATGACTGTCCAACTGTCATAATGATTTTCCATTTCCATTTCCATTGAATTGACCCCAGTAAAATTAATCGTATCACATATAGGCGTTACGGATATACGAAAACCTCAGCTCAGCACAGCATTGTTGTGTTTCAGCAGTTAGAGGTAAGATAGCCAGGTAACTACGCTCTGCTACCATGTTGGAGTTTGGAACGTAAGAAGGAAAAGACCACGAAGATTACCACGGATTTATTTTAGAACATACAGCACACAGAGACTACATGAGATCGAGTGACTGATCCAGAAGTCTGGAAACCTTACATTGACAGCGGAGTGCCAAATTCAAATATTCAAATATGCTTGCGTTTAACCAAAAAGTTTCTAACTTTCCAACACCTCCGTGGTTGAGGATTCCGGGTGAAGCTCGCTTTCACCTTCGGCCTGATCATCACTTACCATCAGGTGAGATACAGGCCTAGAGCTTCCTCGTTGTGGATAAAAAAAGCTATAAATATAGCCTTTGTTACTCAGAAAGGATGAAGCATTTCAATGGTGAAAGATTTTTTTAAATCGGTCTAGTAGTTTTAGAAACTTTTCAATACAAATCTTTCCTCGGTATAATTTATTGAAATTACTAAAACAAACAGGTGGTATGTTATTCATATTATTTATTGAAATAATTTAAGCTCTTGATAGAATCCAGGGTAAAAACGAGGTCACTCGCGCATAAGCAGAGGGATGCCCTCCCTCACAGCTAAAAGTTCCGAACGAAACAACACCAATCTGTAAACAGATACATTTCATTTCTTTTATCATGTGTATTGAAACTATACTAGGAACAAAATATAACAGAATAAAAAACATTTTATTTAATGTAGAGTAGAAAATGCATATTAAGGAATGCTCAAATCTGCAAAGTAATCAGAACTTACGACTTGAAGTAAAAAGTCGTCGTCCATAAGTCCATAGTACCTACAAAGTTTGTTTATCCAAGATCAGATGTAATAAAAATTACCAGAATTCGGTCATCGCCAGTTCCAAGCGCCAGAGGACCACCTGAGTCACCTTGGCAAACATTAATCCCAATAGGTCCTGTTGTGCAGAGAGTTGAGTCTATAATGAAATTAGGAAACGCCTGACGACACTCTTCGTTTGGAATCACCTGAAGGTGAGCCTCTCTCAAGTCCGGATTAAATATGGGAACCTGGCCTAAAAATTATAAAAAAAAAAAAAATTATTGACACAGTCACTTTAATGTTGGTAAAAGTACAAAAATGCCGCTTTGTACATTTGAGTGCACATACCATCGTATTGTCTTCCGTAGCCAACACCTACCACCCAAGATCCACTGAAATCGTTGTTTGCTTGATCAATTGGCAAATTGATGGGCCTGGTGATGTCTGCAAAGGGTGAAATTAAAACTTTAAAAAAAAATTATTTTCAGACAACAGCAGTCTATAGTTTGGTTAGTAACAATTTGATCTTAGAGACTATGTTAGTAGAGTTATAACTATAACTTTTAAAGTTTCATCAAATAAAAAGGCCTGCAAAAATATGAAGGAATGATCTCAAAGTTTGTTTCCGACTATTAAAATATAAATTACTGAATTTGCTCTGTTTGAAATCCCGCACGGGTGTGCACAATAAGTGTGATGGTGAGAGCTATATCAGCTAGTGTTCTTGTACGAGGACTATTAGACTGAGTGGGCTTCAAGTAACCTTACCATTAAAGGCAACCCAATCGTGCCGGACGATTGCGATGTCGTTGTTTATATTCACTGTGTTCCAGTCGGGATGCATCTCAACATCTTCGGTGTCGATACGCAAACCGCCAATATGCAGCGTCTGGGAGCCGAAGACCATGGTGAACATGCGCGCCCAGCGCCAGCCGTCGTACCAGCAGTGCGCCGCCGTCAGCGAGCGCGTGTGCGTCAAGAGAGATGCTCCGCACATAGATGTGAACGGGGTGAACAAGTGGATCACGACTCCCACCTAATAATAAGGGTTAATATTTAAGTAAAACGGAAATCGCCGAATGGTGTCGGTGTTAGACTGGCCGAATCGAGATGCTAATACGTAGTACGTAGCCTACATCCAGCCATTGGTACTATAAGCTGTTGATGATGGTGTATCGAAAACTTCATTAACAATAGCCTAATCATCATCATCATCATCATTTCAGCCATAGGACGTCCACTGCTGAACATAGGCCTCCCACAATGCTTTCCATGTTGATCGATTGGTAGCGGCCTGTATTCAGCGCTTCCCTGCTACCTTTATGATGTCGTCGGTTCACCTTGTAGCCTTGTAGGTGGACGTCCCACGCTGCCTTTTACGGTACGCGGCCTCTATTCCAGAACCTTGCTACCCCATCGGCCGTCAGTACTGCGTACTATGTATCATACCTTCAGCTTCCACTTCAGCTTGCAAATCCGGCGGGCTATGTTGGAGAGATAGACTTTAGTTCGTTTACTGATCTCCTCACTGATTCGATCTCTTAAAGAAACACCGAGCATAGCCCTCTCCATAGCACCAGTCTAACATTTTCTTTGTCCAACCTAAGTTTCAAGATAGAACAGTAATTCAACGAAAAACTTACCATGAAAGGATGCCTGCCAAGAGGCACGGAGGTGCCGCCGACAACTCTGCTAGAATTAGCTGCCAACTCAAACTTCTTTAATTGCTCAGACATCGGAATTCCCACTTTCTCGTGGTAGGACCACCGCGGTCCCTCGAAGGGAACCGCTTCCACCACCACTGCTACCAAACATACTAACAAGCACCACTTCATTGTAGAAACTTTGCCAAGATCGAATGAGGACTGTAGTAGTGTGAATTTCGAATTTATAGTACACCAAAGAGGTTTATATCTTATCCGTATGTGATAATTAGCTTTTTATTGATGAACACCTATCTTTCTAAAGGAAAAGTGGTTTTTACGATGTTATCTTGTAAATATTTCGGTTTTTTGCCAGTGGATTTCCCAATCAATAATATTACCTTAATGACATGACTAAGTACAGCGGTTATGAATGAAGATTAAATGGTTTTGGATTCGTAAATGTTTCGGCGTTTTGTCAATTCCCCAATTATTACAATTAATTCTATGAGTAAAAGATCCTTGACGTAATTACTCTTCGGTGGATGACTGTTCAAGATTTCCATAATAATTTTCCAGACCCCAGAAAAACATCATTCCTATCCGGTAGGCGTTACGGACGCATGGATAAATAATATTTATAGCTGAGATATTATAAACCTAGCCTATGTTACTCAGAAAGAAATCGGTCCAGTAATTTCAGTCTTTTCAACACAAAAATACAAATCTTTCCTTTTTATGATATTTATTGAATGTTATTAATATTTGTTAAAATAATTTAATCTCTTGATAGAATCCAGGTTAAATACGACGACGTCACGCGCGCGTAACCAGCTGGATATCCAGGATGTCCTCTCTCACAGTCTAATGCTCCGTACGCAGTAACATCAATCTGTAAAAAAGAAATGTACTCAATTGTATTGCACCCATACAAGGAACCAATGAAAAGTAGGTAAGCAACAAGATACGGGACTGAGTTTCTTGCGCTGTTTGTTCTCAGCACTGACTCATTTATTATCCCGAAGCAGTGGTAGGGTTAATGCTGGGACGTGTAAAAGTGCATTATAAGCCTACTTGCAAAATTATATTAATTTTATGAAGAAATATTATACGTATTTCTATTGCCGCAGTAAGAACAAAATAATATACTACTAAAAATAAAATAAAGGAAATATTTAAGGTTCCCATTCAAAAAACTTTATTTTTATGCTGTCAACTCATACTACCGATTTTTAGTTCTTGAAAGTAACTGTTAGGGACGCTGTACATACATTTTTAACGCACTTTCTAGCGAGTCCGACTGTACCTCGACGTTTTTATTCAATGAAATAGATTCTGGGAAGTTTATTGTGTTAGTGTCATTATCTTAATTAATACAGATAATGTTTGATGTAATGAGTTGGTAATTCAATCATAATTGGATTTACCAAACCAAACGAAGATAATAAAATCTATATATATAAAAATGAAACCCGTTTTCCGTTGTCACGACATAACATGAAAACGGCTTGACCGATTTGGCTGATTTTTTTTTTGTAGTTTTCTAATACTCTGTACAAGGTTTTTACGGAAAAAAATATAAAGAAAATCTCTACGCTAAGGCGGTACGAAGTTCGCCGGGTCAGCTAGTAAATAAATAAAATAACTAGCTTATTCCCGCGGCTTCGCCTACGTTAATTTAGCTTTATCACAGTCAAAAAAGGGTTAAAACGATCCTCACAACTTTCACATTTATTTATTGTATGATAGGATAGGATGAGATTTTAGGACTACTTAGCCGTTTCTCATTCATCTTTTACAACTTCTTTTGAAAAATAAAATTAAAAACGTTATTACCGCAGCTTATTACCGTTCTAAACAAGAAACATTTTTTTTCTTCATTGAAGACATAATTTTAATTGCTAAACGACAAAAGTACCCAACCTGATTCTAGTTAATTACGCTTTTTATGAGTACAAAATGCACAATAACGCAACTGTCCGGTCAGTCCCTCCGGTAATGTATTGGATCTGCATTTCGCGTGACGCGTCGACGGCGTGTCACGGGGTTCGCTGGGGTGCAGGGTTGGCTGGTAGGGCTAGCAATGGGTGCCTAAACTAGTCAAAACAAAATAGCAACTAGGCACGTTTTTAGTGTGTTTTTTTGTCCTGTTTAAAGGAGGTGTGAAGGAGATATTATGTGGTTTTATCATAAAAAATATTTGATTTCGTTGATAAATTATGGCACTTATTGCCTATTCTTCTGTTTAGTAAACTCCTAATCTACAATGTTGTAAAGAGGGTACATGACTGTGTAGTAATAGAGTACTTCATGAACAGACACAGTCATCATCATAATTTTCAGCTGGATACGAGTATAGTTCCCCCATGGCTTCAAGATTGGCCAGTTAGAAGCAGCCTGCATCCAGCGTCTTTGCTGAAGTTCATATCAATAAATTATTAAATGGAGGATGATCTGTGCACACAATCCTCTTTCTCGTCATTTTTCTCATCAATTCCATAGCCATTGTCACGGTTAGAGGCTTTAGAGCTAAGTGACATTAATTAGAATTTAGATTTAGTTTGAGAAATAAAAGATAGATTAGGTTAACAAGTAATTTATTCAGATTTAAAGAAGTGAGAACTCTTAGGGAGTGGGTTGTCGAGCAAACTATCGTATCGCACGAGATTCGTCACCGGTGGTAGTATATTCAAACCACTGTCCTCGCTAGCATTGATGGTGATGTGGGTTGGTTCTTCTTGATGGTAGGCCCGCAGAGTCGTCGACGCGCCAGACGGTTAGGGCCGTACGCACTGTGGTGTAGGGCCACTTAGAATGTGCGCACGGGCCGTCCGATACGGCAGGCAGCTCTGCCGGGTTGAAGACCCAGGTGGTAGTTTCGGCAGTGGTGACCATGCATGGTGTAGTAGGTAGACGTAGAAGATGAAGGTGAGGATGAACGTGAAGATGAACCCTGCAAATCAAAGCGGACACTAAAGCAGTTGCTAGCTTTTGTCCGTTTGACTGCGACATCAAAATACTAGCGAAGCAGATGGAATGATTTTAGTAATAAATGGTGATGTAATGATGTGGCAGTCAAACAGAATTACAGTAGGTGCAGAGAAAGTGATTGCAAAGTGAAGTCGGCAAAAATATTAAATTATGTAGGTAGACAATAATTTAGCATATCATCTATGTAGGCAATTAATTTGTAAAACAATATAGGTAGGCAATAATGTAGAATAATTAGAACAAGTAGAATAAGATTAGAATAGTTTAATTTAGGAAATTAAATAGAATTTGGAATGAGTGTCGTTACAGTACGACCAAGGTCATTTAAAGGTCATGACGTGTCGATGTCATTTCATAAAATATTTAGTTTATTTATTTAATCATGTAGTAAGTTGTAAAATAATAATATTAAGAAGATATAGAAATAGGAAATTTGTATGAAATGACACCGAGCACATGGATAGCACATTTCAAGAACAAAATGGCGGCTAGGCACTTACATTTAGCACAAGTATAAAATCTAGTCATTAAAAATACTTTTGCAACACTCACCCGGTAGCGGGGTTCACCAATACGCGATTACATTTTAGTTTCTAGGATATTATGTACATCGCGGGTCCGGCGGTGACGGACAGCGATACGTCCGTGCTCAATAACGCTCTGGCTCGGACTAGGAGACGCGGCGGGAGCATCGCGGCCGTAGGCGCGTCGCTTGCGCATACATAAAGCGCGCTCTACACTTGCGCGCGATTCTTGCTGTGAATTCACGCCGCGATTCGCGCCGTGCACTTCGCGTTTATATGTGTCTCTCCACACTCGCGAAACCTCGCAGTCTCGTTCGCGGCCTCAATGGATGACGACGTGATTGTTGCTGCGGTGACGCTCTGTGCTATATCGTATTACAATTACCTATGTATTAAAAATAAGACACAAATAAAAAATGTAATGGGTTTATATATTTCACTTGAGCTTGCCCCACTATGAGTGGAATCCTTCACTTTCTTTCTATAGGTTCTATAACTGGACATAAGTGAGTCCTTTTTTTTTTAAATTCACCCACAGGAATATTTAAAATGTCACTTATCGGCGTCCAGGCATAGTGGGTCTTATTTTTATTTTTATGGTCCTTGTGTTTGGACTGCCAAAGTATTGGTTCGGATTGAAAACACTCGATAAATTTCAACTCAAGTTCATTATTCCATGCCTAGTACTCATTTAAAAAAAAGAACGTTAGTAAGTACGCAATAATGCACAACCACTTGCGACGGCGTCTTCTCAGCTATTGCGAAAAACTGCGAGTGTAGTTGCGTTCGCGATCGCGCGCCGTGAACCAAGCGCGAACCTTTGTCGCGGGACAAAAAACCGACAACGAACGGGGAACGGCGCGAAGCGTGAACGTAAACGCGCGAAAGTCCGCGAAACCATCTACACACGCGTTTCGCGGCTTTCGCGGCCTTTCGCGCCGCGAGTGTAGAGCGCGCTTAACTCACTCGGCGAAACACAACACAAGTGCTGCTTCACGCCGGTTTTCTGTGAGGCCGTGGTATCACTCCGGTCGAGCCGGCCCATTCGTGCCGAAGCATGGCTCTCCCACGGTAAGGACTTGCCAAAGGGTCGGTAGTTAGAACCCCTTTGCCATTGGATTATTGTTGTAAACCTACTCGCAACAGAGGAATATACTATTTAACTTCTCTCAAAGGTAAACAGCAGAATTCGTAAATAGTGCCATTAAAATTACTAACATTTTAAAACAAAAAAAAAAAACCTAAAACACCCTGTATTCCGCACAATCTGTTAAGGAGTGTATTTTGTAAAGACTGGGTGCTATTGCGACCAAAATTAACGGGCGGCTGCGGCACTCTCTAATGAACGCTGTAGGTAATTAACTGTCTAGCTTGATGGAATATTAACGTAAGTGTTAATTTTAGTTTGAGAAATTATGTGTCGCACTCTGTTAATGTGCAAGTTAAATTTTGCCACTGCATACATCAAAATTAGTAGTACAATTTAGGCGTCATAGGCATTTATTTGTTGTTGAAAACATTTATTATTATCCTCCAAACAACCAACTTAAATCGAAATCTATTTGCAGTACCTACCGATACCGATACTCGATATCAAAATGTTCTTTTAGTAAGTAAAAATATTAAACTCAGTCCCTGGCCCCTGTTGACTTTTATTAGAAGTTTTATTTAAAGATCATATTATTATTATTATATCACATCAACAGTATCGATGCATA